TCTTTATTGAAAGAAAGAAGATCCGTCTCACTGAAGATCGGGTGAATCTTTTTCTTTATTCATATTTTTATTACTTAATGCATCTTTCTTTATGCTATTAAATCTGGTCATAATCGCCGTCAACATTTATATTCGGCTATATTTTTTAATTCGTATTATTCATCTCGGATCTAGAGTTAATTATCCTTGACTAGGATTTAGCCTTTCATCTTTGATTGATTTGTCCAAAAAAGAGTGTAACATCTTTTGAGTCAAACATTTTGGCGCCGTCTGTGGGGATTTTCTAGTTAAGATTCTAGTTTTCTCTAGATGTCTAAAAGATATATGGATAATATATTCAATCCAGATGAGTGATACCTTCAACCAAATGTAATGTCGATTGACAGACCAAACATTTCTTCAAATCAAAGCTAAGTGTCTAATCCTGAACTTTACCCATCTCAATCTCATCAATAATTCCATTTAATTCAACCAAAAAGGGTTCCTCAAAAATTTCAATGGCAGACTATGTCTTCTCCTTCTTTTTTTCTATCTTTACTCCTTATTTCTTCAACTAACAATGTTAAATCCAATGAAGAAGGCTACATCTCAGTGGACATATCAAATAAGGGTCTTGATTTTGCGAAGGATTTTCTAGTACAAATGGCTGAGTCCTTACTAGTTCCCCTTGACCCACCTAAAATTGAGAATCAAAGCATAGTCCTTTTATTGGTACAGTTCATGTGGGTCTTCCTAATATCACTGTCGATAAAATCCATGTAATTTCGTCCACTGTTAAAGTTGGTGATACAGATAATGGGGAAGCTTCCATTCAGTTTATTAAAAAGGCACCAAGATTAGCGGCTTTCTCATCGGATTGTGTTGCGTTTGGTTCTGCGGCCACTCCACAACTTTGAAACAATCAAACATGAATATATTTCGGAGTGTTCGTTGTCAATCAAGTCACAGAGACTTTTCAAATCAAGAAACAAATATTGCAAGAATACCACGCCGAGATTCGCAAGCCGTTACCCGAGTTCGGCGAATGCCAGCTCAATCAAATCTCTCGAGCACAGGATATCGAAGCAGACGGCCTTGCCAAGCTGGTAGCGGCCACGAAAAGCATAACCAGAGGAGTGAATGTGACCACTCCTCTCCACTGGCCGACCGATCAAATCGAGGTAACGAACGATTTCATTTGGTTTAACTGACTATTTTTCTAAATGGAATAGAAGCAAAATTAAACAAACTGGGACTCCCCCAGGAAATGCATCATATTCCCCAGCGCAAGCAAAGTTAAGCAAACTGGGACTCCCCCAGGAAATACGTCATATTCTCCAATACAAGCAAAACTAAGCAAACTGGGACTCCCTCAGGAAATACGTCATATTCTCCAATGCAAGCAAAATTAAGCAAACTGGGACTCCCCCGAGAAATACATCATATTCTCCAGCGCAAGCAAAGTTAAGCAAACTGGGACTCCCCCATGAAATACGTCATATTCTCCAATGCAAGCAAAATTAAGCAAATTGGGACTCCCCCAGGGAATACCCCTTAAGGCCAAGGGCCTTCGCCAAAATGAAGAATTCGACATCGACCAAACAACGACGGGTTAACATTTCGATAAGTTCGGAATAACACCCCTTAAGGCCAAGGGCCTTCGCCAAAATGAAGAGTTCGACCTTGATCGAACGACGACGGGTTAACATTTCGATACGTTCGAAATAACACCCTTTAAGGCCAAGGGCCTCCGCCAGAGAAGAAGAGTTCGACCTTGATCGAACGACTACGAGTTAACATTTTGATACGTTCGAAATAACACCCTTTAAGGCCAAGGGCCTTCGCCAAAGAAGAAGAGTTCGACCTTGATCGAACGACGACGGGTTAACATTTCGACAAGTTCGAAATTACACTCTTTAAGGCCAAGGGCCTTCGCCACAAAAGAAGAGTTCGACCTTGATCGAACGACGACGGGTTAACATTTTGATACGTTCGAAATAACACCCTTTATGGCCAAGAGCCATCGCCAAAAAAGAGGAGGTCGACCTTACGGCCAAGGGCCGTCACCAAAAAAGAAGGGGCCGACCTTATGGCCAAGAGCCATCGCCAAAAAAGAGGGGGTCGACCTTACGGCCAAGGGCCATCACCAAAAAAGAGGAGGCCGGCCTTATGGCCAAGAGCCATCGCCAAAAAAGAGGAGGTCGACCTTACGGCCAAGGGCCATCACCAAAAAAGAGGGGGCCGACCTTATGGCCAAGAGCCATCGCCAAAAAAGAGGAGGCCGACCTTATGTCCAAGAGCCATCGCCAAAAAAGAGGAGGTCGACCTTATGGCCAAGGGCCTTCGCCAAAGAAGAAGAGTTCGACCTCGATCGAACGACGACGGGTTAACATTCCGACAAGTTCGAAATAACACCCTTTAAGGCCAAGGGTCTTCGCCAAAGAAGAAGAGTTCGACCTCGATCGAACAACGACGGGTTAATATTTCAACAAGTTCGAAATAACACCCTTTATGGTCAAGGGCCTTCGCCAAGAAGAAGTGTTCGACCTTGATCGAACGACGACGGGTTAATATTTCGACAAGTTCGAAATAACTCCCTTTAAGGCCAAATGCCTTCACTAAAAAGAAGAGTTCGACCTCAATCGAACGATGACGGGTCAATATTTCGATAAAATCGAAATAATACCCTCTAAGGACATGGGCCTTTGCCAAAGAGAATTCGAAATGTCCCTAAGGCCAAGTGCCATCAGAAAATAAAAAGGGAAAGAAAGACCGGGACTCGCCATGCAGGAATATACCTCGCACCAAAGTCGCGAAAAGCAAAAACATAGAAAAGTACACGGCGAATAACAACGAAAAATTCTTCTTTATACAAAGTCGCTGCGCAAATAGTCGCGGATTACATACGACCCGGATCAATGGTCAAAAAAGAGAGGTATCTTTTCACTCGTCGTCACCATCGCCACTCTCTTCACCACCATCTCCAAGATATTCTCCCTCGGCATCGGCATCCTCAGCTGCAATCCATACTAGTCAACCTCCCCATTCGAATTTCTCGAACTACGATTAATGAAGTCCGCTCACCGAGCTCGACCAAGAGGCGACCTCGATAAGCGGAGGGACTAAATGTATGGGTCAAAATTAGACCAGAGAAATTCGGCACGCGAAGACATAAGGCCGAGGTCGGACAGGTTGATGTCCGACAGGCCAAGGTCGGACAAGCTAAGGTCGGACCGGCCAAGGTCGGACAGGCCAAGGTCGGACCGGCCAAGGTCGGACAGGCTGAGGTCGGACAAGCTGAGGACAGACAGGACGAGGTCGGACAGGTTGAGGTCGGACAGGCCAAGGTCGGACAGGCTGAGGTCGGACAGGCCAAGGTCGGACAGGCCGAGGTCGGACAGGTTGAGGTCAGACAGGCCAAGGTCGGATAGGCTGAGGTCGGACAGGCCAAGGTCGGACCGGCCATGGTCGTGATGAAACAACTAGTGTGCTTTGGAATCCTCAAAAGGAATATTCTACTGAATATTCCCTCTAATTGTACCTTTTCTTTTAATGCTTTTCTAGGAATACCCCTTATAAATAGAAAGGGAGGACTTCCCAAAAAGGGGGGCTCTGGCTCTCTCCTTCTCCCTCTTTCTAGAAAAATATGTAAACACACCTCTCCAAAGAGATAAGAGGATCTGTGATCCCATACCTTCATCAGATCCAAAAAGGGTCCAATGGTTCTTGTATTTTGTTTATCATTCATCTTTATCAAATGAAAGAAGATCCGACTAACTCAAGATCGGGTGAATCTTTTCCTTTATTTACATTTTATTGCCACTTAATGTTACTTAATGCATCTATCTTTATGCTATTAAATCTGGCCATAATCGCCGTCAACATTTATACTCGGCTATATTTTTTAATTCGTATTATTCATCTCGGATCTAGAGTTGATTGTCCTTAACTAGGATTTACCCCTTCATCTTTGATTGATTTGTCCAAAAAGTTTAAATTTTTTTGAGTCAAACAGTTATTTGTATCTTTTCAAAAAAAAAAGATACAAATAGGTCCTAAACGTAGCAGGATCTTATCGCTTTCATATAAAGGAGAGAGAATGAGGAAGAATCAAACTCTATAGTCTTGCCACATCGATCAACAGCAACAAAATTCCCCTTATGCACAATGATATCGACTATATTGAAACTTACATCTTTTAACATAGTCCAGATCTCATCCAATGACTTCGAATAAATTAACATAGTATGATCATATTTTAGAGCTTCAAAAAACGCCAGTAGAGAAATATTACTGGTCTCATGAGTACACAACAAAACTTTTCTAACAAAGTCGAGTTTTTCGTGCTGGACACGATAAGATTTACAAACTTGAGAAACGCGGAAGTCTCACAGACGGCGGCACAGTTCTTCTCCCTAATATGAAAGAGATAGAAGAAAGGGTAACGCAGTCTTTTCATATTAATTTTAATAGACTAGTGGCTACTATTGCTAAGCATTGAAAATGCTGGATAAAAAGTAAATACCACTTTAAAAAGTGGCTACCCCACACAATTTTTACGATAAGGTGCGAGTAAATTTATACCATGTTTAGTTGGCAATAAAAATTTATCATGGTCTTAAAAAAGAAAATCCCACTTTATCCCATCAAACTTGGGATTATATTATTCCACCTCCCAAGTGGGATAAATTAATACATGGATTATCTCAGAATTATAATCACGGGATAATTTAGTCCGCTACCAAACGACCCCGAAGGGTCTTCCTCACTAGGCGAGTGGATCCACATTATTATATGTAAATGTGACCTTAACGGCCTCTTTTCAAGCAATTATTCGCTTCAAGATGTATGACAAGACCTTCATTCTCTCGATCGATCGAGAAGCACAACGGTATAAAATAGACTTGAACACAAGTAAAAAATATATGTCTATCTATTGCACCCACGTCCCGGGGGGGTGGGGGGGGGTGGGGACAATGATCCATAGAGAGAAATACATGACCAAAACAACACAGAGATTGGAGAGTCAGTCAGCCACTGTCTATTTCCTTTCAACTGTGAAATATTCTAAGATACATTACACCTAATTGATCTCATTTACATCTATCCAAATTATTATGAAAACTGATACAAGCTTGAAGAACTCTAGAAATGAAATTACCATTACAACAAACGAACATGGACTGGAAATAGTGCAACAAAATCTAAGCTGGGATCGGTAACGGCCCGCCACCGAGGAAATCCTTTGAAGCCAGCAGCTTTTCAGGAAGAAGTTCTCATTTACAAATGTCACCAAGAATCTTCAGAACAGTACTAGAAGAAAGTTGGTGTTACTTGTTACTCCCGGGGACGGGCAAGCCAGAGAGAGCTAAGTGCTCGAAGTCGAGAGAAATAATCACTGATGGCAAGAAGAGCACGAGCTGATTGGCGAGTTGTCAATATGCGATGCATTTGCTGCAGTGTCTGTTGTCGTAGGTTATCAGCCTGACATTTAAAACTTTATAGGTCAGTATTTTGTGTGCGAGGGAAAGCTTCCAACATGTACTCAAAACAACAATTACGGATCAATCCCAACCAAGTTGGGGTCAGCTATATGAATTTTCACTGATCAAGTCGCTCCATTTAAGCTCATCTCAAACCAATACTTTACAAAAATAAAAATAAGAATAAAAAGTAATAGAATTTCACTATATTTTCTAATGGCACCAACATGTACTCAAACATGCAGATAAACATTTGCACAAATGGCAGCTTATGCATGCAATTTACCATCTAACCCAACTAAACTGCTGCATTTCAAAACATAAATGTTATGGAGAGCATCTCTAAGGCAATGCAAGGTCATACAACATAAAACAGATCTTCTTTTCTTTCTGGAATTTGTCAACCTACCTAGCAAAGTTTGCAAACCTCACTTGGTCTTAACCTTTTCAACCATAACTATTAGCACCATGCTGGTAATAGTACCAGTTTTCCAATTGGTATAGCCCAGTGCTGAGTTGTCTCTGATTTGTCACTATAAAATCAAGAGTAGAAAGGGGCGAGAAGTTCTGAAACTTTTTACTAAGAAAAACACGGTCAATCAAATATGACGCCCGAAAACCCCTCATACATCCTCTCTATCTTCGGCACATATGCAAAAAAATACAAGGACTAAAGATCTTCAGCAACTTGGGAGCATCTTTTAGGTAAGATACACAGCCAAGCAACTATAAGAGAGAGAGAGAGAGAGAGAACTACAGTTGCTTCAACTCCATTCTTTGTTTCCTACTTATTCTCATCAGGAAAAAACACAAAATATCAAAACATAGAAGAAAAGAAGGAAAAAAAATGATGGAAACGAATAAGTAGTTCAATAAAGTCCCAAGGCACTATGTTCCACTTCGTAAGCTATTAATGATCTCAAAGAAGTGCAAATAACAAGGTCTAACGGCAAATACTTCAGACCACTATTTTCAGACCACTATTTTAAATACCAACACAAGACACCTATACCTCAACTAGGTACCTATTTTGAACTCATCCACGAGTATACTTATGCAACCTCTAAAGATTAATTGTTGCATAAATGATACAAGAGAAGCCACAAGACATCGCCATGAGAAAAACGGAAGAAAGACACGCTAAAAAGGAGAACTTTCCACCAGATAGAGCATGTATCTCTCAAATAATACATGCAATCCTGAATCTAGTATCCCCATATATGGCATACAACTATATCACTTGATTTTTAGTAACTCGTATGATGACCGGGAAATAAAGGTCCTAACAAGCACCTAGAAATTTCCTCCATTAATCTTGATGCTTGCATCAGGTATGCTGCCTACATCACACCTGCCTACATCACACCCCTTGAGGTGCGGCCCTTCCCAAGACCCTACGTGAATGCAGGACCTTTTTTAACACAAGGTAGTGCTAGGTGGCTAACGAGGCATGACAAAAAGGTCTCAAGTTGTTATTACTATGGTAAGGTCCAGATGGTTCTATATGCTAATGGAACTACACCGAATCTTCTCGATTGAGAGAAGATAATTAATGCAACCATCATCAAAGTTAAGATCGCCACCATATAATAAAAAAAATGGTAGCCATGCTCCGCTATCATAATTAATGTACTATGTAATCAAGCGGTGCAATAAATGCTCCGCACTCTATCCTTTATTACCTTCACATACATTGTCGTATTTTTGTATTTCCACATCTAATAATAGGTGTATCTTGCAACTCATTTGTATCAAGTTAGTTACCAATTTAAGAACACAAATCCCCCCTCCGTTCCCTTTTACTAGCCCCTTATACCAAAAACAAATCTTCCTTTTACTTGTCCGTTTTAGCAAATCAAGAGAGTTTTTCTTCCAATATTACCCTTATTTTTAAGTACCCTCACTTCCTAAGTTTATTGAAGTTACAACTTCAATAACCATTTACAAGGATAATTTAGTAAAACAAATCCTTAATAAATGATTTCTTAAAAGAAGTGCCAAGTAAATAGAGAACTAGTAAAAGGGAACGAAGGGAGTAATTCTCTCATTTCTTTCTCCTCCCTCAAGATTTTACACATGCTATCAAAGACTCTACGGCCTAATTTGAGATGTATCAGAGCCTCTATAAAGACATAAATTGCTTCTGCGCTCCAAGGGCAGCCTTACGTCACCTTTTGGTCAACGTTGTTCATTTTGTAAATATACGGTGATAGCTCAGAGAACACAGCCCTTTTTTGAAATGGTTATTATGGTGGGCATCTCTCTTCCTTGTTTTGGCCACCATTCAGGCAACTTCGGTCCCTCAATTTTTGTCGTCCAGCAACACATTTTCTATCAGCATTTTGTCAGCTACTACACTAGGCAGGCTTATGTCACCATCTAGTAGATGTCTCCAGTCATTGCCACCTAAACGTCCAGCGACATGTTGCCGTCTGATAGCACATTTTTAATCAGCGATTCAACAGCGCCACGTAGAGATCAAACAACAAGTCTTTCAGTCAGCACCTCGTCGTTGTCCAATAACATTTTTCCAAGCAGCACGCATCAGTGCCACGTCGCCATCAGCAACATGTTTTCAGTTAATAGTCAGTTATCACCACTTCACCATCCAGCAACACATTTCCAGTCAGCGTTTCATTAGCGCAGTGTTGTTTTCTAGTGACAAGTGTCTCCAATTAACATCATGTCATGCCACATCTCCCTCTACCAACAGTTTTCGATTAGGGTCAGGTCATTGTACATTGACACATTTGCAGTTAGAGCGACGTCGTTGTCCACGGACACATTACTCTCCACTCAGCACCTAATCTATACTACATGTTTCAAATTCAGCTCCTTGTCACATCCTACAACCTGTTATTATTCAACCAAAACCAGGTCGTCGTCAAGCAACATTTCATAATACGTTCAGCACCAGGTGCCATCCCGTGAGATGCTGTCATCCATCCATCAGTGCCATGTCATCAAACAATAATCTTTCCTGCATGCCCAACATGAATTCCCAGTTTTTGATTTGCAAAGTGTCCTCACCATCTTGAGTTTAACAGGGCATGTTAAAGGACAAGAATTCCCAGTTTATATTTGCAAGTAATGGTTGGCGTCGTAATGATAAATACGGTCATGTCAGGCAATACATGCACTACTATCATAATAAATGTAGTTAACTTGTATAATAAATGCACGATACTTAATCCTTTAATAATTTCACATATATTTCTGTATTTTCTGAAGTATTTTTATACATACAAAGTTGTATCTTGTAACGCATTTGTATTACCCCATATATCCCATTTTATATGGCACTCTTTCTTTTGTTAATGTATTCCAAAAGAATGACAGATTTAAATTTAAAAACTTTTTTAACTTTAAATTTATCATTTTATCCTTATTGGCATGCTATGATTGGAAGGTAGTAGGTGCATCATTCATTAAATGTAAATCCGCTCTGGTCATAAAGACCGATAATCGGGGGTATACTCAGTCAGTTGTAATTAATATCATTTTGATATAACAGATTTTTTATTTAAGAAAACAGCCAAACCGGTAATCAGACCGAAATTACTTCAGTTCATTAATTAAGTTTTCCTCTCTCATTTGATTCTATTGAATAAAATTAGAAGAAAAAAGGAAAGGAAATGTCACATGATTTAGCAAGTGTGCCTATCAATTAGATAAGTTAGTGAAAACACATAGCTCAATTTTGATATATTTTTTCTAGATTAAATAGTTTGCCTTTATAATATTTTCATTTTTATGCGCGTAATCTTTATCTGTGTATTATATTTCAGAAACTCCCTGAAGACAGTTAACCAGTGCGAGGCTATTGTTTGTTCATGCATTTGCTGCTGCTAGTATATGTGTACGCCTTGAAGATATTTACGGGTATATATCAAGTTTTTCTCGAAGTCTCCAGGTGCTCGTGCACCCTCGCCGGACAACATAAGTCCGCCTTAGAGTTTTGGTATGTGCCAAACATCTCGTTTTTCTTAAACTCCGTGCCCAATCAAACACCGCCATATAAAATGAAATGGCAAGAGTAAGTTAGTTACTAAATTATGAAAAACATAACTAGTTCTCAACATCTCCTCCCAAGATTACAATAAAATGAATTCTCTTTGTTACAGTGTCAACAAGAAGAGATGTCAAATTTATGCTTTTTCCCGCATTCAACAACAATGACAAAATAGAATACGACACTTTGGTGACAGATCCTGTCCAAGAGGGATGTTGGTTGGCAGGAATCCTTTGGGGTGGAATAGACAAGTATGATGCAGTAAAAGGTTTATTTGAATGGACTTAAATTATGAATCTCTCTTGAGGAACCTGGAAATTCTCCCCGTCTCATTTTATAACACACGTGTCATCTTATGTGACACAATTTCCTTTTTATTATGTCCCAAAAAGAATGGTACAATCTATATTTAGAAATAATTTTAACTTTAATTTTCTCATTTTACCCTTAATGATTATATTATACCGATGCAAATGTCTATGGCATGTTTTTTACCACAAGTTTCAATATTTTTCTGTCTTTCTTAAACTCTATATCCGATCAAACATTAACAACAAACACAGTGTAATCCCACAAGTGGGGCCTGGGGAATGCAGTGTGTACGCAGAACTTATCCCTACCTTGTGAAGATATCCAATCAAACAGCATCACAAAAAAAATAAAAAATAAAAAAAGGATGGAGCCGAGGAAATATGACACTATTCAATGACATATCAATGAGAAATCTGAGGCTTTTAGGAGAGCATCAGATAACCCCGTCTATTTTTTCCAATGAATACACACAAGTAAAGCATTAAGCACCTGGCGAATGAAGCCCTCAAGTGTTCCCAGCTTCCCCATTGCCATCGCCATTTGACCCATGTAATTGGCAACATTCCCCGAGGAGCCTGAAGGTCCAAGAGACCCTGCCAAGGTCTCAGCCAATGACTGCTGTAATGCCTCCATTCCCTGGGATAAAGCATCTTCAGCCTGTTGCGATGACTCTTGCAAGTTGTTGATTGCTAACAGTTGTTGTTCAGTTAAAGGCTCTAACTGATTAGTGAGAAGCTGCAACAATGGAAAAGGAAATTAAAAAGGGGTTTTTTCATTTTTAGCGCCGTGGCCGAAAATAATTACAGGTGGTAGCCCAAATATACAAAAAATATAATTTTATATGTATTTATGTATAGTAATGTATATTTATACTTAAAATACAAAACATATATATTTGCCAGCTATTATTTTTTTAGGCGGCCCAAAAATGTAATTATCCCAATTAAAAACTAGCAGGAGGTATTGAGTTAATGAGAGCAAAGGATGCACAAAATAACCTGCCTTTTAAACACCTCCAGCCCTTGGAAAGAGAAATAAAGGGAGCAAGCAAAGATTTTAGACATCTAAAGCTAAGAGTAATAAAAATGAATTGTAACCAAAATGAGAGAGAAAATAACAGTGGAGGAAGAAGTATAACTAAAGCAAAGATTATTACGAGAACATAGAATTTCAGGAGTTATCCGGTCTAAAACCAAGAACTTCTGTCTAGATAAGTATAGACAAGTCCATCATCAAGAAAGTGGCTGTAACTAAGGTCAGAAGTCGACTTGCAAATCCTTCATCAAGGAAGTGGCTGTAACTAAGGTCAGAAGCCGACTTGTCCTTTATTATTATTACTCCCTCCGTCCCAAAAAGAATGATACTTATTGGATCTCGAGAGTCAAACTTCTTAATTTTGACCGCAAATTCGGACATGGAATCTTGAAGTTTTTTGAAATAAAATTTACATATTTGGAAACTACAAGTACAATGTCACAATAATTAACCATTCAAAATATCTAAAAGACGTATAAAAAAGTCGTGGTCAAAGAACAACTCGTTATACTCTCGAAAATACGAAAAGTGTCGTCCTTTTTGGGACAGAAGGAGTATTATTTTATGAGAAAGGTAGAAAGATTTGTCCTTTATTATTCATAGTGAAGGTACACAATAGTAAGATTTTCATATGAAAGATTAAGCTGACTTACCACGTTGAATTCTAAAAGAAATCACCTCAATATTGGTGAACTCTTTTCTGAATGTGGATAACCACCAATTGTCCTAAACATCTAAACCCATTCCCTTTTTTTTTTCTTTCCTTAATTCCATTGGGGAGGCGGGGGTTGGGGTTTCTCAAGCAGTGCTGTCACTTCTTGGAATGGAAGAAAAGGCTCTCACCTTGAGAAGTTCTGATGAACGGAATCCACCCAACCACAAGAAGCATCTTTCTGCAGGAGTTTTCCACATGCCTGACAATATATGAAAAACATCAGCCTTTGCAGCATCACCTTTAATCCTGAATATGTCATCATAGTGCGCCAAGATGCCATCCACGATTATACGCAGTTCGCCATCACCAGCATGAGAACTTACAGCTCCCCTAAGCTCAGTAATACGCCGGTTGTGTTCTTCCAGCCATCGTGCATATTCTACATCAAACGTCAAAGCTCCTAAAATAGCAAATGTTAATATTACTTGCTTTCTCCGAACCCAAAATGTAAACTAGCTACATACAAAATCAATTATAGTCCAAATATATTGATCAAAAGCAAAGAACCAAAAGGGCATTCCATTAATCACAAAGTAGTTTGGATCTGTTAATATGATCCCACTCAGCACAATCATTCCAATATTGGGAAAATAATGTCTTTCAAAGAAAATTAGGGTACTATAAAACAGAAGACTCCATTTTTCGCACTTATCCCTACACCTACAGAGAAGTCTCTACCAAACTAACAAGGTTCCTGGCAAATATTGGATTTAATGCAAGTGTAACAGCAACTACACCTTAATCCCAACTAGTTATATCGCCTATATAGATCCTGTGCTTTCACTGGGTTCTTCTCTTAGTTATGTCCATATCAATTCTAAGGTACGTCATCCTTTTTACCATCTTCAATTATTATAGTGTTGCACCAGCGGACGGGTGCATTTGAAGGTTTATGTTGGCCAAACCATCTCAAGCTTGGAAGTAGCAACTGTTTGAAAAGTTGGAGTCTTTTCACCATTTTGCAAAACAAATTAGCTTACCATTTCCAGTCTTTGACTGTGATTGATCTCCTGAACTTGAAATAAATATGCCCTGCAGATGAAGAACAAAGCTTATCAAAAATGTTTATCATCTGAAATGATACTAGCCAACAACTACATAGGCTACCAGTAGTTCTAGAGCAAGACGAAATAAATGAGGAAAAATAATTGCGCCGAACAAACCTGTTGCCGAGCTCGTTGAAGCTCCTGCTCTAGCTGTGTCAGCTTCATTCTACTACTCTCTAACTGTTGAACATATGCCTAGACCACCAAAAAACCAAACATAGCATATACTTGGTGTAAGTGAAAGTAAAAGTATATGCCCTGCAACTTTAAACCCCATAAGAATGACAGCGGAGCGAAGTTAGACAGAGTTTTGGTGAAAGTTCAGATGTATAGGCTCAACCATGATGGCATGATGGATAAAGATGTCAAATGGATAAGGTAAGAAGATGCATAACAAAGTGAAAGAAAAAGTACTACAGAATGTTTGTAAGACCAGCACTGCTATATCACAATGAAAGCTGCACCTTTAAGGTCCGATATATCCACAAGATCAGTTATGAAAAAGAGAATGTTAAGACAGCTGTACAATGACCACATCCGAACAGAAGGTACAAGTACAACAAATACTGGATAATAAGAGAAAAGGCGCCTAAGATAGTTTGATTGTGTTCTACATAGATGCAAATACTTAAGTTATAGAAATTATCTTATTAGATTCAAATTATAAAGTATTTTGTGGTACAGATATTGGGACGTCATGGTGTAGTTATGTACAATACTCTTACTATTATTTTCTTAAATTAATTATGAAATAGAATGTCTTACCCAGTTCGCTAGCATTAGTGTTAGTATGATACCCTTTTATTCATAGATTGCTATTACTACCTAGAGTTTAACTGTTTTTGGCTTCGGTCTTTTTTATCTTGTTGTTCCTATTTGTTGCCATTACTTTTTTTTCATCCTTTTTCCAACCGAGGGTCTATCAGAAACAGCCTCTCTGCCCTTCCAGGGTAGATGTAAGGCAGCGTACATCTTACCCTTCCCAGACCCCACTAGGGGGAAATCACTGGGTTTGTTGTTGTTGTTGTTTAATTATGAATGGAATAGATATTTTAGTATTTTGGGTAGCCACCCCTTTTATGTTTATCTATATATCACCTTTTGTGTCATAATCCTTTTCACCTCCTTTCATTTCTTTCCCTCTTGCTAAAGAACTCGTAAAAAAACCTCAACCCTCTTTTTCCCTTATCAAAATCCAATTATCTTACATGAAACAATCAAATTCTCCTACTAAATTAACCAGCTAGACTTGTTTTTGATAAACCCCTAGTTACTTCTTTTTGTGGTAAGTTCACTAAACCTGTTTTTGCACTGCACATGTTTTGGTGTTTTTAGCATACCTCCTTGAGTAAAACTCCAATTTAAATGACTCAAAGTGATATGGAAAGATAACTTGTAACTCTACAACTTTTATGTTTATTCCAAAACCTAGTTATGCTGTTTATTACCCTAAAAATGGGACGAAGTACAAGGCAGGTGCTGCCCAGATTGATTTTTTTTTTACAAACCTTCCATGTGCTACTATACAATATTTTGAGCATATCTTTTTTTCTTCTTTTTTTCCGAAACTCATGTTGAGGTGATTTAAGACTTTTTAGAACCACAAGACATAGACCGATAATTTTCATGAAGACTACAAAATCTAGTTTTGCCGTTTACCTCCTCAAAACTGAGTCACAGTACAGGGCAATTATGCTATCCAAATCTTAATTACAAAAGGATGGGAGCAATGCAACTGTAAGAGGATTTACCTTTTTCCTTAGACGACTCTTTCGTGCAGCTTCACGATTCTGAGCAAGCCTGCGAAGCGTCTGCACAAGAAAAGTTCAACATCAGTAGGATACTTTTCTTTTCCAATCAAGTTTTATTAGCAAACTTTAAATGTGCATAATGGAATGGTTGGAACCTTTTGATCTCTTGGTTTGTCACTTCCATCAGAAGTCACACTGGCCACTGGTTGAGAGTTTAGAAACTGCGCCAAGAATGATGAATATCAATTTTCATTAAGAATTTGAAGTACAAATTATCATGGTACAGCAAGATTCTGGAAAGTTACGGAGTAATTTGCTGGCTTGAAATCAAATTTGTTTATTCTTTTCCAATATCTGTGAACCTAAAATTAGAATCAGGGTTGATCCTTTTTTTTTTCCAAGTGTTCCTCTTTTCTTCCTGAAACTCTTTGATGACATGTTCTGGTTTTGCAAAACAGGAAAAGAAATAATGTTTTTAAGTCATTTTAGAACATAGGGAGACGAGATAATAGAATATAACATAAGAAAAAATTCATATTAACTTGATTTACTTGTCAAGAAAAAAAGCATAAAAATTGATTTACTTATCTTTGAAAAAGATAGCTACTTGATTTCCAAATGGGAACTAAACTTTGAATGAAGATAATCAAAAACCATCAGCCATCAGTTAAGAGATTATGTTAAGTCCAGAAAAGCTATAGCTGAAATTTGAAAACAATAAATAAGATAAGAAAGTAAAGACAGATTTCAGAATTAACTGGTTTACCCTCAAGTTTTTATCATCTGTATCAGCATCTGTTGACGTGCTAGGACTGATCTCTACCATCATGAAGTGTTACCAACTTTGCAGATGATCACTGGGAACTTAGATTGACTCTCTCTGTAAAAGCACCGAATTAGAACACGACGTCAATACATATAGATGAAATTAAGTTGAAAATTGTACACAGATATTGTGCAATCATATCAAAATGCAGAAGGAACTCCACCTATGTGAGCTTTGCAAAGTATACTAGTAGCGACTCCAGATAAGAGAAAATTAAGGACGAGTATTGAAATGTAGCAATTCTCTGAATATTTAACTTTAACAAAGAGAAAGCACATCTATCTCCTACTTAATACTAAGCTTCAGCCCCACTAACATTGGCCATTAGATTTCATGCATCAAAAGTTAAATCACAGGTTACTTTCTCTTCTGTATTTTTTTTCCTTTTTCTTTTTTAATTTTTTTCACATTGCCAACTGTAGCTTGAGGGCTTGAGCAGCAGTATACACAATCCAAAATAGAAACGACGACCTATAGTCGTAGTTGGTTATATGAATCCTCTATGTCTATTCTCCTATAGTGCGCCCAAGGGTGTAGTCTAGCGGTTAATGCAGTGGGTCCCACTAGGAGTTAATTTCTTCTCATCTATTTAAAGTTTTAAACATTGGTGGTCGATCATAAGATACTTGTGCTGATGGGAGGTAGCAATACCCGGTGGAATAGTCGAAGTGTGCAATATGGCCCAGATAGCACCGTTATTAAAGAAAAGTCTATTCTCCGACAGTTTAGACCGATATCATTCCAATACTCAATACTTTTTCTTTCCAGACAAATCAGGAAATCCTTTTTTTAAAGTATCAGAGCTACAGTTTCACATCAAGAAAAAAAATTAAATTGCTCAACAGTTCTCAATCCTAGACAGACATAACTTCTGAGCTAATAGGATCAAGAATCATTTGCATCTCATATATAATATAGGGCTTTTAACACATTTGGTCAATCTGCCAAAAATGAATACAGCTGCTAGGCAAATATACAAAAACATATACTCCCTCCGTTTCAATTTATGTGAACCTATTTCCTTTTTTAGTCCGTTCCAAAAACAGTAACCATTTTCCATATTTGGAAACAATTTGCTTTTATGCAATAATTTATAGCCATACAAAATATATAAGCCTCGTTTTACACCACAAGTTCAAAAGTTTCTCTTTTTTCCTACAATCCGTGACCAGTCAAATAGATCATATAAATAGGAGTACTGATTATGTATAAAATATGTATACGATATATTATTATATAAAAAATATACATTCGTCCACTATTATTTTGAGTATTATACACTAATATAAAATTATTAATTCATCAGCTATTATTTTGAGGGGCGGCTTAGTTTCCCCAATAATAAAACCCAAATCAAATCTCCCCTCTCCCCCACCACCCCCCCCCCCCCCACCCCCACACACACACACCCCACACCCAACAGATAAATTCAAATTTGCTAATCAAATCCTCAGAAAAACCAATATTTTCACCTTCCACCTCAAAAAAAAAAAAAAAACACAGACAGCCTTCTAGCTAGTACATGGCAACTGAAGCGAAAGAGAGTTAAGCGACTTACAGTTTAATAAACGAATGACTTCAACCAAAAACCAAAGTTGGAGGAAAAAGATTCGGTATTTTACTTCTGTTCTTGTTTTTGAACGCCTTATTCTGTTGCTTTTTGTTTCTTCTTCTTCTTTTTGTTCAGAGTTCAGTAAATCAGTGAAATCAATTGAAGTTCTTTTTTCAGCAAAACAACAAACAAAAATGGCGATATTGATGAGTTGGTGTGACGCTTCACTGCTTTGTCAGCACACTCTCTCTCTTACCAAGCCAATTTTGACTTTTTTTTGGTCCTAGTGGATTCTTCTCTCTTTCTTTTTTTCTTTCTTTTTTCTTTTTTTTAAATTTTTTATAACACCTCTAACTAGCATTTTTAAAAATAAATTTAGTTGAAATTTGAAAGAGAAAAAAATGTATTGAAAAATAATTTTTGACATGCATTTTGCTTGAAAAAGATTAAAATTTTGTTAATGGAAAAAAAAATTCATCAAAAATTGGCTCAAACTAGTTTTTGGAACTTAAAAAAGAATCTATTCAATTTTTTTTCAAAAACTGATCAAATTTTATGAACAAATAATATTTTTAATCTTTTTTCAGAAAAAAGATAACCGAAATCTATGTTCAAAACGGGAGAAGGGGAACCTTGAAACGACGGTCAAGTGGCCTCCGAGTGACCTATAGGTCACGGGTTCGAGCCGTGGAGTCGGTCACTGATGCTTGCATCAAGGTAACTGTCTACCCCTTGGAGTGTCCGGACCCCGCGTAAACGCAGAATGCTTCATGCACCATTTTATGTTCAAACGGTATTAATTTGTGCGAATCTTGATTAGTTTTATCAAGTAATGATAATTTTATCCATCAAAATTTAGATAAATAAAAAGAAATAGTTTAATATTTTTATCTCCACTAAAATTTGAACATGAAACATATAGTTCTTCATCCATTTTAACTTTTTAAATTTTTTTCTATTTTGGGGTTTATATTTGTCTTTTAGCAAATAAATTTGAACCTTCCTAGTTAGTTTCTCACTTTAGAGTTTAGTCTCTTTGACAAGTTAACATGAAATTACTGTGGGGTCGCAATACAATGTTAAAATAACAACAATTTAACTATTCGTATTAGATTTTAAAGTTTACTATAAGTAAATCTATAAACCATTCTTTCTCATTATCCACAATTGGATAAAGACAAACTGGAATCAGCAATATGAAGTATGCTATGACAAACTTATGCGGGGTGCGAGGCAAAAAATTTACTTGATTTCATGTTTATACTATGATACATATTTTTATATTTTTGTTACTGCTAAATTATAATTAATTAATATACTTTGTTATCTTAGATTATAATTAATAAATTAGTATAATTTAATATAAATATTGAATAGGGATAAGTTTATTCTTGCAAATTGTGGCACCCCTCTCAATTCAGGCTACCGATTTAAATAAATGCATTGATAATATAAAATTATATTTTTGTTAATGAAAAAAATTACTCGTATTCAGTATTAATATATAAATACAAGACATATGTCTTGCATATATATTTTTACTGATAAATGATTTATGTTTTCATTTTAGTTCGTAATTCTTAACTTTAAATTGTTTAATTGTACGTAAACACTAAATACATAAATATTTTTCTTTGTTAAGCCGCCTTCATATGAATATTTGTCTCTCAATCATATATGTTTGAGTCACGTAGACTAAAACCGTCTAATATTTACCATTGCTAGCTAGATATTAGATAATTTTTAGCAGAAAACTGAAGTTATAATTTTTTTTAAAACTTAATACTCCTTCTCCCCCAATCTATATCGATTATTTCACATATAATTACTGAAATTAACTCATTATAATATTAAGTGGTTAAATTATTTTTTTACTCATTAATAATTGAACTTTAATTCACTAGAATAATAAAGTTAATAAATATCTTTTTGTAAACTTGTAGGTTGCAACAAAAACTAACTGTAATAACTAAAAATAGCATACTCGCTTCGAAAAGCACTCTGAGCCTTCCCTATTCAAAAAAAGTTTTCTGTACAACGAAAATTTATTAGCAAATTTATTTAACTAAAAAAGAAAAAGAAAGATCCAAAAAAATTAAAAAAGAAAAACCTGTTTCTTTCCCTCCTACAATCTCTCGCTATCAATCTTTAAGAAATGACCTCCTGTTTCCAACATTGGGATCATCCCTTTCTTTACCTCTAATCTTCCTCTTGCATTTGAAAAAAAAAAAAACAATTAAACAATTTATGATGAATATTCTCTCTTTAACAAATTATTATTTCTTTTCTTGACCCCTCCAAATCCTCATTTTCTTTCATGCTTTTCATCATCATGCCACTCTCAATTCCCATCATTTTGCCACCTTTTTCACTCATTTGGTTCTAATATATATAATCATTCTAATTTCCTTCCCCTTCAATTTCTACACTTGAAATAAAGGCGTAATTATTATTGTTGTTGTTAATGCGGATGAATCTTTTTCTATTTGGGATTGAAGCATAGCGATTATTGTCATTATTGTTGAATCTTGTAGCTGTTTGAGATTAAGATGTAACTATTGTCGTCATTGTTGCAAAATCTCTCTCGTTCTCGTATTATTTCTTTTGAATCCTCCATTTGACTTTCAGGCGTAACTGTTGTTGTCGTTGCTATCGTTGTTGAATTTTTCTCTACTTGGAATTGAGTCGTAGTTGTTGTTGTACGTTGTTGCTGGATCTAATAGCTGTTTGCGATTGAGGCGTAATTATTGTTGCCAAATCTCTCTCATTATTGTGGTATCTCTTCATCTTCATTTCTCTACACTTTATCCCCTAGTACAATGGGGAATTGTTGCTCTAGTGGAGAAGAACCAAATGAAATTACAAACAATGAAAATGGACAAACCAACAACCCTAAAAATGAAGAAACTTCATCATCTACACATAATCTTGATTCCACAACACAAACAAAAACAACCCCTCCACCTCCAACAACAACAACAACATCTCCTAGCCCATCATCAAAACCATCAAAACCATCACCAATAGGGCCAGTATTAGGCAGACCAATGGAAGATGTTAGAACAACATATACTATAGGAAAAGAACTTGGTAGAGGCCAATTTGGTGTAACACATTTATGTACACATAAACAAAGTGGTGAACAATTTGCATGCAAAACAATAGCAAAAAGAAAACTAGTAAACAAAGAAGATATTGAAGATGTTAGAAGAGAAGTACAAATAATGCATCATTTGACAGGACAACCTAATATTGTTGAATTAAAAGGAGCTTATGAAGACAAACATTCTGTGCATTTGGTCATGGAGTTGTGTGCTGGAGGTGAACTTTTCGATCGAATTATCGCTAAGGGACATTATACTGAACGTGCAGCAGCTTCATTGTTAAGAACAATTGTGCAGATTGTTCATACTTGTCATTCTATGGGAGTTATTCATAGAGATCTTAAGCCTGAGAATTTTCTACTTCTTAATAAGGATGAGAATGCACCTCTTAAAGCTACTGATTTTGGTCTTTCAGTATTCTACAAGCAAGGTATTAAAATCTATAACTAAATCTTTTCTTTTTTAAATAATGGCGGTGCCCTAGCCAGCTTGCTCGTACTTCTATTATTCTATTGTGTAGTACTTGTTGCTCTCGTCTGGCCATAGATGTTGGCTACTTTTTTTTCAAAAAGTTTTTCTCATAAAAGATTTGAAAATATTGTTTGTTCAAGGAATATGATCAGTTTTTTTTTTAAAATCTGAAAAAAATTTCAAGTTCCCAAAAATTAGTTTTTGGCAGTTTTTGGATGAAAATTTTTCTTCCAATCATAAAACTTCAACTTTTTTTCCAAATAAAGTGCATGTCCAAACACAACTTCAACTTCCAAAATTTATTTTCCAACACAACTTCAAAAACACTTTTTTCAAGTTTCGACCAAATTTATGACAAACGCTCGCGTTATCTCCTACCAGCATAAGTATCGGATATCATATTTAGATGTGGATTCATGATTTAAATTTGATTGGTCAATTGTTATATTTTTACAATTGAATCCAATACACTTTTAACATTATGAAATCAAAATCTACTATTTTTGTGATTTTTCACATATAAATAATGTTTTTTAAGATTTTAAAAGAGTGTTAAACTCTTTTCTTGAACTCTTTTATTTATGTCTTTAATAGTCATGTACGTTTGTTTTTGCAGGAGATGTATTTAAAGACATTGTGGGTAGTGCATATTACATTGCACCTGAAGTCTTGAAAAGAAGATATGGACCAGAAGTTGATATATGGAGTATTGGGGTTATGTTATATATTCTTCTTTGTGGTGTTCCTCCTTTCTGGGCAGGTAAATCACACACATAAGATTTAATGTCAAATTATTCGCATCTAAATATCCCATGTTTATGCTAAACCATGATATGTGTCTTATACATATATTCTTTAGTTAATCATGATTAAATGATATGTATACAACAACAATATCAATAAAAAAATCTAATATAATCTCACTAGTGGGGTTTGAAGAAGATAGAGTATACGCATACCTTACATCTACCTCAGGACAGATGCACGCTTACCGAAGCGGTGTCACGGGCAACACCGCTTCGTTGGGAAATTTTACTAAATATGTGTATTAATACTGTACAGAAATGGATAAGTAGGAAAAAATGATAGCACTTGACATAAATTGTGTTATGGTGTGTTGGTATCGTGCTTGATTTTGCTATAGGAGGTCAAAGGTTCAAACCTCAAGTCCTCAACTAGCACTTTTTTTTTTTTTTTTAATTTGAGTGGTTAAAAATTGTGATAGAAGTGAAATTAAACCCATTACCTTTTCTAACTTAACACTCAACCAAACCAATAGACTAAGGCTATTTCTTGTCTAAAAGTATGATAATCAAATTATATTCCAATTCTGTTATAAATTTTGACAACAATTACAAAAATTCCTGCGTACACTCTTGCTCTACCTTAAGGCATAAATGACATGTATGATCACTTTAATTTATAACTTCTAAGATAAACTTTCATGGTTCGGGTAAACACTGGGTGCGATTAAGTACCTCCCCGTTTACCTTTTTCATCATTTCTTTTACACTGAAATAATAAAATAGGGTGAAAATAACCTCTTGCAAAAATTAAGGTGAGACTGCGTAATGGATCCATTGTGATCGGATCCTCTTTTTTCCTGATAAACGTGGTACTCGGGCCAGCTTGCATGCACCTCGACTAATTTCATGGAATACCTACCACCTATCGCTAGCAACAAGTGGTAAGAAATCACCTAGTATTTTTGCCTCTACTGGAGTTTGAACCTGAAATCTAATGGTTCTTACTCATTTCATTGACCATTAGGCCACACCCTTGGGTGCATGATCCGACTCTTTCTCTAACTTGCATAGTAGGAATTTAGTGCATTATCGAGCAGCCAGTTTTAATAATAAAGATACAGAAAACTCTAATTATTGTATGTAAATATAACAAATCTTATTGTGTCACTCTTGGCATAAGTTAAATTTATTGAACAATTGAATCTTCTTCTTTTTCAGAAAACGAAAATGGAATATTCAATGCAATATTGAGGGGACATATTGATTTTTCAAGTGATCCATGGCCTTCAATTTCCAATGGAGCCAAAGACCTTGTCAGGAAGATGTTAACAATAGACCCCAGGCAGAGATTAACAGCTATGCAAGTCCTCAGTAAGTTATTTACACCCACAATAAGTGATCTAATCGTGTAAATATTTGTATGCAACATCAGTTCATACAATTTTAACTTAAAAAAAAAGGGCATCCCCGTGCACAATCCTACATTCATGCAAGGTCCGGGAAAGAGCCGTATCCCAAAAGTTGTGATGTAGACAGTCTACCCTAATGCAAGCATTAGTGGTTGCTACCATGGCTCGACTCTGTGACCTTATAGGTTACACAGAGACAACTTTACGTTTTCTCTAATGCTCCCCTTGATACAATTTAAACTCTTCCAAGTATTATATAATCAAAGAACTTATGTCCTATGCACGGGCGATAAAGAAGATTATTTACACAATTAAATTATTTATAAGGTAATTACAAGTAAATCTCTATGATAAGCATTAATTGGCGGCCGGTGTATATAACTCACATGTACTCTAACTAATAAAATTGTTGTGTATTAAGATCATTCATGGATCAAGGAGGATGGAGAAGCACCAGATACACCATTGGACAATGCTGTATTACATAGGCTCAAACAATTCAGAGCTATGAACAAGTTTAAGAAAGTTGCTCTTCGGGTAATTTTTACACTTTCAATATAGTTTAACCTATCGTAGTAGATTGTCTGTCTTATTTTTTAGCTTATTAGTCCAACATATTACGAACAATTACATTGAGGTAATCTAATAGTATAAAAATTATTTTACCCTACGGTATATAGAAGTTAAACTCTGGCGAGTTTTAAGGTCATTATACCTCTTCGTGATTGACTTTTAGCGTCAAAGCCTATAACGATAGGTGGCGATCAAATTTTTCTTGTCATTATTAACCTTTAGGGACCAGAATTCCATTTTTTTTTTCGGCCACTAATAGCCATTTTTTTGTAATAAATGAAGCAAAAATATTGTTATGGATTTGAAAGTACATTAATTTCATGTTAATTAAGTAATACTAATATATTTAAAGGTATACAAAAACTCACTACTTTAAATTGGGGAGATTTTCAGGTTATTGCAGGGTGTCTATCAGAGGAAGAAATTATGGGATTGAAGCAAATGTTCAAAAGCATGGATGCTGATAACAGTGGATCAATAACAATTGAGGAATTAAAGCAAGGATTAGCCAAACAAGGAACTAAACTATCAGATTATGAGATTAAACAGTTAATGGAAGCTGTAAGTTCTACAAGTTTTTTCCTTTTTTTTTCCGTAACTGTGATGTCCAATCTAGTTTGCGTGCACCTCGACTAATTCTACGGAGTACTTGCTACCTCCCGCGAGCAATTCTTAATTTTCAGTCATTTTTTCTCGTTCTCTCTCGAAGTATCCATTCACTCAAAATTAAGCGAACACAAGCTTTTTCGAGTTTCTAATAGCCTCTTCCCCTTCCCCCCTCCCGTTGTTCTTCTATTCGGTCGCTTAATTTCGAGTCTTCTCTTTAATCTCTGATTACTCGACAATTTTCACAAGCACAAACTCCGCTTTTTATCGGAGAAAAAATTCTTTCACAAAATAACCCATCTCTTTTTCTTTTTTCAGATAAGAAAAATAAGCCACCTTTTAGATCCAAACTAAGTAGGTGTTTGGACATAGGAATTGTAAAATTCCAAAAAATGGTAAAAATTCTTTTCAAGTGAAAATGGTATTTGAAATTTAGAGTTGTGTTTGGACATAAATTTCTGTTTGGGTTGTTTTGAAAGTTCTGTGAGTGATTTGAGTGTAAATTTTGAAAAACAACTTTTTAGAGTTTTTCAAATTTTCGAAAATTTCCAAATGCATATTCAAGTGAAAATTGAAAATTTTATGAAGAAACACTGATTTCGAAAAAAAGTAAAATTTTTTTGGAAAAAAGGAAAAAAAAAATTTATGTCCAAACGGGCTCTAAGCCTTCATAATTCGGATTTTTTTCAAACTCAGGGCTCATTCATTTTTTATTTGAGGTAAAGGAAAGTTTTCTCAGTATAGGAATGAATAAAGATGAGACATATACCCTACAACCTCTATTATCTTCAATTGTGATTTTATCACATGTATTTTTTCCCAAACTTTTTGAAATCCAAAACTGTTATACAATGACATAATATTTTGAAGAATTAACCCAAATAGCCGTTCATCAAATCGCTTAAACTAAAAATAGCCTGTGACATATAATACATGTATAATTTATATATAATTTGTGTATAAATATATATAATAAATGTATAATCTATATATACCGACTAAAATAATAAATAATAATCTGAGCGGCTATCTATATGTCATAGTAGGTAAATAGGCTATTGATTGCTTTATTTCCACCTCGAGTAGGTTGTTTTTGAAAGTTTATTTTTAATGCTAATTACCTTTTTTTATATATTGGGAACATTTAGGCTGATGCTGATGGAAATGGAACCATAGACTATGAAGAGTTCATCACAGCAACAATGCACATGAACAGAATGGATAAAGAAGAACATCTTTACACTGCATTCCAATATTTTGATAAGGATCACAGCGGGTAAGTTCCATCATATGATATTATTTTAAAATAAAAGAGAGAAAAAATGAAAATCTGATAATTAAGTTGGGGAAAATAAAATAAACGACTATTATTCCTCCTTTTCTTTTCTACTTTACTTTTTTCTCGCTTACTCTTTAATTTGGATTTTAAAATTCTGTTCGTTCCTAACTACATCTTATTTGGACCCTTCGCTTGCTTATAAGTGGATTCGAACTGACACAACAATTTGTAACTGGTCATTCAAAAATAACCAGTGTTTACCAAGTCAATGAAAAATAGTCACTATTTTGCTGCAATAGAGACCGGTCCAGCATAATATACTGGAGTTCGGTGCACATGTGTATGAACTTCCAGCATATTATGCTGGAACTCCAACACACGGAAAGTTCCAGCATAATATACTGGAGATTCGAGCACTTGTGTATGAGCTTCCAGCATATTATACTAGACCGGTATACTTTGCTGGAACTCCAGTATATTATGCTGGAGTTCTAGTGTATTTATGCTGGAGTTCCAACATACTTATCCTGGAACTCCAGTATAATATGTTAGAGTTCAAGTATACTTATGCTGGAACTCCAGCATAATATACTAGCGTATTTTCCGGATTTTGAACAGTGTTTTCGCTCAGATTTATCTTTACATGAAAAGTGGCTAGATTTGAATTACTTTTGAAACTGGGCTATCTTTGAACGACCACTAGTAAATCTGGCTATTTTTTAATTTCTCCCCAAGAATTTTCAATCCTTTGCTATAACCAACTGGGCTACCTGAACCACTTCTTAAATTTTATTTTTTCATCGAAAAGCGCCCAATCTAGTATGGGGGCAAATTCGTAAATTTAATTCCTTCTGGTGTTATTATAGAATCGAAAAACAATATACTCAAATACTATCCAAACTAAAGTAGAGAGCAATTAAATTAACTTCCTCTTCTTTCTCTTTAGTTGCATTGGAGAGATAAAACTACTTCAGATCCTGTAAGTGCTGCAAGTTTTTGTGCAATACGAATATAACTTCAATTGCAGACCCAAAAGTGGGTATCTGGTGAAATGCCCCTTTTTTCGTCGTATAACGTCCAATCTAGTAAAGGAGCAAATTCGTGGATTTAATTCCTTCTTTTTTATAGAATCAAAAAACAATATACTTGAATAATATCCAAACTAAGTAGGGAGTAATTTTATATTGAACATTCTCTTCTTTCTTTTTATTTTCCCTAGATTATGTTTTAATGTTGCTGAGGATAGTATTCCACCTTAATTAATATGTGCTTGTCATTTTTCTTCAGATATATATCAAGAGAAGAGCTAGAGCAAGCTCTGCGAGAATTTGGTATGAATGACGAAAATGATTTGAGGGAAATCATTGATGAAGTTGACACTGATCATGTAAGTCAAAACAACTAAATATACACATGCCAATACACATTCATTCTTCTTTTTTTCTTTGAGTTTGATTACGCTTTTCCTGAACCGAGAGTCTATCGGAAATAGCTTCTACCTTCACAAGGTAGGGATAAGGCCGTGATACACTATCTTTCCCAGACCCACTTATGGGATTACGCTGGGTTTATTGTTGCTGTTGTAATAAATAATAAGTTCATCAATCAATATTTTTTTGTTTTGCAGGATGGTCGGATAAATTACGATGAGTTTGTAGCAATGATGAAGAAAGGAAATCCTGAAGCAGCAACAATGAACCCAAAGAAACGAAGGGATTCATTTGTTGCATAAATTTTCATCATCAATTAATGAAAAATGTCTCAAAAGAATGAAAGACAATTATGTTAATTGTCTTTGTTGTGGAGAAGACCATACCATTACATAGTAAAAATTTCAACAACCATTCATGAGACATTGTATATTAACTATGATACTAAGAAGAAACACACACACACACACACACATTTACAAAGAATAGATTGTAAAAGTCATGGCTATGTTGAGATTTGAGGGTTGATAGGATCTTCTAATGTCAAACACCGTTTGGTTAAAGCTTTGATCTGAAAAGAATGGAGGTCTTTCAGAAGTATATATGTATCGATACTTCTGCAATTTAGAAAGTAGGTTTTAAAAGTTCATTTTAATCCGTTACCTTTCGGATATTGTTCGGTGTAAACATCATATTCAATCACTCCAATTGTGTTTGTTAGTACTTCGTTTCATACCTAAACTCTAGAGATGTAAAAATGTGCAAATAAATTAACACAGAAAAAATATAGTCTTTTCCTGTAACAACAGTGTCTGAGCCAGCTTGTTCACATCTCGACGAGTATATGGTTTCTCCCCTCAACACATAAACATGCTTAACTTTGTCCACGAAAGCTTTAAGCAAATGAGAAGAAAGTACCTACCATTTTCTTTCCCTCACTGCTGGAAATTGAATCCTGGACTCCCATAGTTTTCTCCCATTTCATTGATGCTCGGCCGCACTCTTGGCTGCCAGAAGAAGAAATATATATTTGAGACAATTTCTTGTCTATTTTTCATTGCAAATGAACAAAATAATTCATTAAACTTATAGCCTACTTTGATTCAAGACAACACAACAAGGTAACAAAACTAGAAAACTATAGTTGACCACAGCCTGCTAAAAATACAACTTATTATTCCCATTGCCCCCTGCTGCTAGGGATCCCCAGCTTATCCACTGTGATTCTTTTGAACTTGCCATTATCGGTTGCATGCATCTCGATGGATTCACTGGATACCTGCGACCTCCGACCACCACAAGTACTGAGTAACTCTGTCCACTACGCACTTCTATCAAGCATTCTTAGTTATTAAAATCTTTAATTCATTTGATTAATTCAGCCAATGGTGCTCAAAGAATATGTAGCACACATTATATGTGTACAAAGTCAAACTATTCATAAAATACTACCAAGCTTACCCAACTATCCATACAAAAAAAATTCTATCTTTACAACATAAGTAAAATGAACGAGAAGGGGGTTACTTTATGCACCCAAGAGTATAGCCTAGCGGTCAATGAAGTGCGTTAAGAGCCATGAGGTCTCAAGTTCAAATATCAGCGGAGGCAAAAACACTAGGTGATTTCTTCCCATTTATCCAAGCTTTGGTAGATAGAGTTACCTGGTTATTGGTTACTTACTGGTTACCTGTTGCTAGTGGGAGGCAGGTATCTCGTGGAATTAGTCGAGGTACGCGCGAGTTGGCCCAGACACCACGGTTATCATAAAAAAAAAGGGTGGGTGGGGGTGGGGGTTACTTTATATTCCTTAAGCTCTGCTCAGTCCCTTAAGAAATCCTATTCCTTTCATCCCATATAATCCTAACAAGTCATAAACTGGCTAGTTTCTCTATTGCTTCAAACTCAGCCTCAAGCTTCCTCATATTCCGAATTGCCAACCATTCAAAGTTCAAAATTTTTTTTTTTCTGAATTATCATCAATTTCGCCATGCAGGACATATCTAACCAGTTGTTGACAGAGTTATCTAGATGGATGTTCAAAATCTAGAGGTAATGAATAACATGAGCTTTAGTGTAAGCTCAAAATTCCACTTTCACGCAGATATTCAAGGAAGCTAAAGAATAACTTCAATTTTGTTCAATAAGAACCTCACCTGTGAAATTCATCCCCTTGAAGTTGATTTACTTTGATATCATTCGATGACATGCAAATTCATCGTTGATGCCATGTGATTCTCGCAAAATTGGACTTGCTGGCTGCAAATTCATTCCCTTGAAGTTGATTTACTTTGATATCATTCGATGACATGCAAATTCATCGTTGATGCCATGTGATCCTCGCAAAATTGGACTTGCTGGCTGCAAATTCATTCCCTTGAAGTTGATTTACATTGATTATCATTCGATGACGTGCAATTTCATCGTTGATGCCATGTGATCCTCCACTTTCAACATTGGTTGCTGGCTACAAATTCATCCCGTTGAAGTTGATCAGACTGCTTCAATTATCAGGGGATGACTAATTAGCAACTTCTTGATTGGCACGATATAACCTGAACTGTCATTATTCTGGACTTAGCTAGACAGGTTATTATGTGAGGGCAATGCATAATACAAAAATATAAGAACTTCTGATTCGCCAGTCTTTGCTCAGTTCTCTAGATATGTAAAACACTGGAGCAAGTAACAATAAGGAATGAATAAAAATATCAAGTATGGCACAATCCTTGTTGTAGTTGCAAATGCATAACAGCAATCACATGCACAATTCAATTAGCCAGCTCGCAGAACTTCTAGAAAAGGACATTTTTAGTTTTTTTTTGTGCCTAAAGCAATTGTTATTATTTAGCAGGATTTCAAAAGTTACAGAATTTATTTCCCAGTTAATTCTAAATCATAATTTTGAGTATTTAAGTCTGAGCTAAGGAATTTCAATATTTTTTCTAAATCTAACCCAGGGAAAAAATATATATAATTCTGAGTTGCAACCCAAACTGAGGACAATGCCTAAGGCGTTGAGGAAGTAATGGACTTTCTTCCTCTATTCCATTGTCCGTTGACCTTGTCAACAACCTTGCCATCTTCAAAGCACCTTTTGACTTAAACAACCTTCAATCATATCAATCATAAAACCTCCTTCGCCCAACGATTTAGCTATGAAATATGAATCCTAAACTGTTCAAACCTGCTCCAATCACCCTGCCACCCGTAAACTACAGATACCAGAAAGCATATGAAGGAAAGCATGTGCCATAAGTGTGACAATAGGGGAGGGAGACTGTATCAACCCGACCCCTCGTTTGAGTATTTGTGTTCCAATTCATGTTTGAAACTTTACATAAGTTGGTATTTTGTTTTGGGCCTTGTTAGTATAGTTCGGGTTGAGATCCAAGGGGCTTGTGGTGGTATCGGACTACTTGAACCATTTTTGTTGTTGCTGAAATTTTTGGTGTCTGGTGCATTGCTATCAATCAAAGAGGTAAGTTGAGTTGACTAGACGAGGAGACTTTGCTCTCCGCGATTGCGACCAACTCACCATGAACACGGTAGTCAACTATATTGACTCTCCACAAACGTGGAGCCATGACCGCAATCATGATGAGTTAGCGGGGAGTTAAATGAAGGGTTAAATGATCTTCGTGATCGCGAAGGGTAGACCGTGAACGCGATGATCTAGGCTGAGCCTGGACCGCGATTGTGATAGGTTGTTCGCAATTGCAATTAGGGAAATTGCCTGAGAGCATAAATATCCGCTATAATGAAATCGGATTGGATTTTCTTCCATTTTTGGCACAGAGGAACTCATGGGTGATTTCTTTCCCGACTGAAATCGACCTAAATCATAGAGGCCACAATTCCTTAAAACTATCTGATGATTAAACATGAACCTGATTGAATTCTAACCATAAAAACATGAGATTCAAGAGGGGAATTGGGGTTTCTAGACACTAGATACACTCCTATACTATGTACTAACTAAAGCAAAAGTAAAAACTAAAGCACTGAGAAAAACGCTACATTAGCTATTTGAAAGACATTGAAATAAGCTTAAATAAAAAAAGGAAGACTCAAATATGTGCAGAAGCAGAGTAACTAAAACAAAGAAAGAAAACTCAAAGATGTGAAGAAACAGCGTAGTGCATAGTGCAGGTTGGGAATCAGGATAGTAAAAATTGCAGAATACATCAGCAAAAGGCAAAACTTAAGCACATGAAAAGTAACTGAGTCTGCTTTTGGCAGAACTCCCAGGGAAGTAGCAGAATCCAGATTCCAGAAGGACTGATTATGGGAATAAATTCTTTGAAAAGCAGAACAGTTTTGTGAAATGCACAATTGATTGAGTCCAGGTTTATCCATTATAAAGGCATAGGACTTGACTTGTTTCCATTCATTTGTTTCATAATCGGCTTAGACAAGCACAAAAGAGCTCGACCCGGTCAAGAATGAATATTCAAAGACAACGGAGCAATTTTCGGCCATTACATTAGCACAATGATTCACTCAAGATTCATTCACAACAAAAGCACCACACCAGCAAGAAGTTCGAAACACACACACCCAAATTCAAGCCCCAAGTATGTCGATTTCATAACTCAGTTCATGTAGTGCAACAATATCTCAACAAAGAAGTAACAATCTCAATCATTCAAGTGTAAAAACTCTTAGATAGTCTAAATTGAAACCCTTCAAGACTCACAGAATTTATACAAGATTTACCGCAAGAAACTCAGCCAACTTAGGTGAGAAACATACCAGGTAATTCGACAAGAATGAGAGAATTAAGGTTATGGTTCGAGGACTCTTGCTGTGAAGGGAACGTCAATGTAAAGGGGAAGAAGGCGAAACATTGAAATTCGATGATGGAGGGAAAGAAAGCTCTCTCAACATCTGCCAGAAGCATGAGAGATTATATTACTGAGCAGAATCTAACTGAAGCTTGGGGATACTCTTGTGAAGCTTCATCAACAATTCACTACAGGGAATGCTAAATCCTTCTGAGGTTTTCTGTGAAAATTTTGGCAACAGTTCCACCACATTAATATCTTCAGAAAAATTACAAAGACATTCGAAGATAGTTGAAGTAATTGTCGAGTCTAGCTCAATACCCTTAGCAGCCATTTTGTGAAGCAAATCAACAATTTCTCCTGTTTGACCATTCAAACTAAAACCCTTGAGTAAACAATCATACACAGTAATGTCTGTCAAGCCAGAAGCATCCATTATCTCAAATAACCTTTTCGCCTCCTCCAATTGTCCTAGCTTCGAAAACCTATTTATTAATATGGAGAAAGTGAATACATCGGGATTCAAACCCCTCCTATTCATACCAATAAGCAACTGCTTAGCTGATTGCAAATTTCCTGCTTCGAGAGTCGAACTAATGATAATATTGTACGAGACTATATCAGGTTCACAATTTGCATCTAACATCTCTTTAAACAACCCCGTCGCTTGCTCCAAGCTACCCTCTTTGCACAAGGCATCCATCAATGAGTTGTAGTCAAAAGCGGTCGGATGATATCCGTTCTTTCTAAATCTAAGAAACAAACCTTTTGCTATATTGAGCACATTTAGCTTGCAAAATCCATCAATTATAGTGTTATAGGTTATTGAATCGGGAATAAAATTCAATTGATTTAGCTGCTTCCAGAGTTCCAAAGCTTTGACAACATTGTTTGCCTCTAAGTAAGCTCCAATAAGTACAGTAAAGGTTCCGA